CTGTTCTGCCCATACCTTTCAGCACAACCTTAGCATAGCTCTACCTGGAAGTAGGCCTTCTTGTGTCACTTAGAGACTTCAGGGCTGTGTTAAATGCTGGTTTTGAAAACTTACTGTAAATTGATTCCAGTTTTTCTGGTGTTATTTAAATGGTGACTATTGCTCATGTACTGCTTGGCATGCTTACACATTGTTAATTTTAAGTTTCAGTGCAAGTGAAGCTTTAAGGGGTCCAGTTTATGTGTTAGGTCCAAACTGAGGCACAAAGAGAGAGAGTATATTGTGTAATATATACATAGGACATTGTATTTGTTGATTTTCTTGTGAAAAGATATTTACTTTTAGTATTAGCAGGTCCGTTTTAAAATTGAACAAATCCCACACAACCATGCTGCTCCAAAGCCAACAAATATTAGGATCAAACATATGACATGACTTCTCCCTAGTTAATATTCCCTCCTCCAAAAAATCTGTAGTCTGTAAACAGCAATCTACATCTTGAGATCCCTTGCATGCAAAGATAAATGATTGTCTCAGTGGGTACTTTATGATGACTAGCCCTCAGTAAAACATTTTTATCTTGTCTGCGTGCACAGCAAAAGAAATAACAAATACAAGGCTTTTGATATGGTCATATGATGGCCACAATGTGATTCACAGTCTGTGATGTTGCTTTATTTAAGGAGGAAGGGAGGGACAGAAGGAAAAGTCTATTTTTGTTTGTTTGTTTTCTAATTACTTGGGCTGTTCTTTCTTTGACTCAGCAACTATGAAGAGTACATACTGTACTACAGTAACAAGCAGTCTGGGCTGGGAAGTGGAGTGATGGTTATAACAGAAGTAAATATCCTGCATTCTCAGAGGGATTAGGAGGAGATGGAGGATTTAGTCTTGTTATGGTTTGGTGTGGTGTCACAATCCCTGTGCATCAGTGCTGTCTTGTATGTAATCTTTCCATCTGTATTTCTCAAGTGAAGTGTGGAGAACAACCAAGCAATCAGAATAGTTTTATTTTCACTTTAGTTTTTTTTTTTCCATTTATGAAACCCATGTGCTTAGGTGATGAAAGCGTTCACCTTGCACAAGAAACCATGCAGCAAACAAAACGGGTGTCTTGTTTTCAGTACTTCACTTGACAAATATGGTGCTTATGGCCTGTCTGGAGTGTGTCCTAAGAACAGAGAGGAGAGTGATTTTGACTGCCATGAAGTAATTTGATAACTGACATGAAAAAAATTGGGTGACATGGAATACCCCCTACCTTGTGATTCTATCCTGTCAGTCTGCAGAGTACACAGCAAGAGTTGTACTCATCATGGCACACTGTGTTACTCAAAATGGTTTGAATCCCAGCTGCCAAGGTGAGCCCTTATTGCTTTTAAAGGTGTTAAATTACATTTGTGATTTCAAATAATGAAAACGCTCAAGGCTGTAATGGATTTCAGGTGATTCTGAAGAAGCTCAGCCTGTGGACTGCTTTGTGCAGGAAAGGAGCTTCACTGAGGCACTTGTCATCTTCGTGTCCTGTGTCAACCTGCTCCGTTAATGCAGGACATTCACGTGTCAGGGTATGTTAAATGCTCCTTAGGGGAACAGCCTCACTTCAGTAAGAGCTGTTTATTAGAGTCAGTTGGGTGCAAATTTTAAGCAGGATGTGAATTTTAAGCAGGATATCCAGGCAGAAGAGCTGGTGTTGATGGTCACTGGGGAGAAAATTCTGGAGAAGTCTTTCAGAGATGCATGGCCTCTCAAGAACTGAGAATTGAAAACTGCTTTTTTACTCTTATCCCATGGGCTAAAACCCCTGCCAAGTACATTTTTCCCCATTGCAACATGCTCCTCTGAGAAGTTGCAAGGGATGAGGAGACTTTGTGGAAAGGCAGTTAGTTTCTTTCACAGGTAGCAGCTCCAATCAGGTTCCTTTCTAGAAACTGCTGTTATAGATTTTTAATGTTTTATTCCATGCTCTTGCTTCTGATGCTTTATCACAGTACTGAAAAAACTAAATATGGCCTCTTGCAGCCTTTAATTATGTGATAAAAACTGTGTCCAATTTAAAGTCTGTTCTTTTACCAGAGAGGGTGACCTGATGATGGCATTCTCTTGTGAAGAAACAGGACTTCACACTTGCTGTTGATGGCCTGCCCTCCTTCTTTGTTCTTTACTGTATTTTTAAAATTTCTCTGATGATTGTAATTGCACTAAATGCATTTGATAATGCAGAAGTGACCTATTTTGTGCACAGTTCAGCTGATTCTGGAGTTGCCTGTAGGGTTTCCTAGCAATGTTCTTCAGCTGCTCCTTGGCTTACAAAAGCCTGATGAGTTAGGCATGGCCAGCACAACATACTTGAGGCAAGGAAAGTTCCAGGTAATGGAGGAGAATGAGCCATACAGGTGTGAATGCACTGGACCGAGTGTTAGTGAGGCAAGCTGGAGGAACAGATTGGGATGAGTAGAATAGATGTCATGAAACATATTAAACTGTTGGAGGCCCTTTGTACAAGTTTGTTAATATCCAGTGACATGGCCAAACATTGTGCCCCTGTAGGCTCAGCAGTGAATGTATGGTACCTCTGGCATCTGCAGTACCTACTGAAGTATAAAAAAAATAGATGAGCTGGGACCCATTACCATAAAGACTGTCTGCAGCACTAACCCTGGTAACAGATTGTTCTGTGCCTCATTAAAAAGGAGATAGCGCTGTCAGAGGAGTCAGGGCTTCATTTTGCCATGTTTGCTACATAATCAGTTAATTTTGCTTAATAGTGCATTGCATCGCAGATGTGCAAAAGGGCAGAGCCGCTTCCTTTTCTGCATAAAACCTCCACTCTGGCACAGCTGCAATTTTAACAGAGTGTGTTACAGCCAGTGAGCTGACCTCAGTCACTGTCCCTGCCTTGACCTGTCCTGGGCTCTCCCAACAGTCCTCTGGACAAGCTTGTACTGAGTTCAAGGTACAAGTTCTTGAGAAGTTAGACACAGATGTGTAGGAGAGTGGTCATTCATTGTCTGCTGTGCTTGTGCCTTTTTAAAAAAAATCTTATACAAGGTACTGTCAAGGACTTCTACACATTCCAATGGAAAGTACTTAGTGCCTGTCTTTCATCTAAGCATTACTTAGAATGTGAAAGTTAGCATTACTGATTTCCAACGAGATGAATCCAAATATGCCTATCTTAACATGGATCTTTACATTTTTTTTTCCTTTGAGTGCTGATTTTGGGCAGATAATTAACAAGTCAAATACAGTCAGACAAAACATGTGGAGAAGCCAAGTTTAGACCCCTGTTTAGGGAAAGATTATTAAACACTACAGTTCAAGGTTTTAGAAGATCAGTGTGTTACACAGTAAAACAGCATTTCCAACAATTAGTGCTAATCGTATACTGCCTGAATTTGTAATGAAACTGGGTATGTGTAAATGGTTTTCTTCAGATGAAAATTAATGTATTCTAAGTAAGTATATTCTGTACTCACATATTCCAGTCTGAGAATATTATAAGGATATAAATATAACTGTGTTTATAAATGTGTAGTGTGGTGTGAACATCTTGATTAAAAAAAAATAAATGGCAAAAAGCAATACTAGATGTCCGAAGGGCCCTTGTTTAGAAGAATAGGTACATATGTAATTAAGTTCATCTGCCTTCAGAAAAGAAAGCAGGCAAGCACCTACTTAAATCTAAATGAGCTTAAGTTGTGTTTACTTCAAGAAATACTTAAGTATTGTAGTTAACCATCCACATAAAAGATTTACCTCAATAAAGACTTGCACGCATACAAAAGGAGAAAGGTATTTCAAAACCTAGGTATGATTATAGGTGTAAGCACTGGGTTTGATTTTAGAAGAGCCTTGATTTAGAAGAACTAATTGAAATTCTCTGAGTCTGTCTTGGGTCCCTCTGAAAGCCGTGGCCTCTTTTAAATGCTAACAACTGAGGGAGGTGCTGGCCCTTACAAACTGATTTCACATCCAACACCTTGCTGGATGTTTCTCCCCAGATGCTCAATGTGAGGATGGAACCTTCTGCATATGATTTCTCCAGTATGGCCAAGTGTGTGCCACTTTGAATATTTTTGAACCAAAAATCCACATCAAAATGCCAGTGTGTTTACAAACTTCACTGTTTATCACCCAGGGAGATTTGCAGAAGATAAAGCATGGGGGAGATGATAGTTAAATTGCTGTGCTGTGAAGTGATGAGCAGAAGAACCTTTTGGAAGCTAGCAGGTCCAGGTGAGAGCTTGAATTCATAGGTGCCTGACTTGGCTCCCCACCTCAGTCCTGGCATCCTACCTAGGAAGATTAGATCTAAATTTTGAATTGTGCTGTTTCTCTGCTTTTGAAAGATGAACCAAGACTTTTTAATAAAATACTAGAATTTGCAGTGCTTGGTTGGTTTCATCTGAAGCCGTGGCTGTGAATTCCCAGGGTGGTCTCATGCTCACTGAGGCACGATGCAGAGCACAGAGAAGAGTGAAGAATAAAAAAGAGACAAGTGGACTCTGGGAACCCTGTTTGGAGCAGTGCCACCCAACATGAGCCTGCACTCTCATCTTGGTGGTGAAGCTGTGTGCAGGTAGGCAGCTTCCTAGACAAAGGAACTGCTACAGATGGAAAACAATACACTCGTGCAACCACCTAATCATCTCCAGAAAATCCAGGGGGACAGTCCAGGGGCAGGCCTGGGCAGCAGGTCTGTTGCACAGCTGTAGCCATGGAGTTGCTGTGCTGCTCTAAACAGATGCATTGTGACAGGGAGGTAAATGCCTTTAAAGAAAAGGAGGAAGATTTGGACTTGGCTGGGGTTAGCTCTTAGGACAGTAGGCTGAAGTCTTGTTGGTGCTCTGTGCCTGGCAAGTCCAGTTCTGATGGTTGAGCTGTGTGGCCCATGGGGCCCATGGCCATGGGCAGGCAGTGGTGCATGCTACTTCCAAATTGCAGGTTGCTCAAATCAATGGTCTTGCATAATGGGGCATAGAGAATCTCTGGGATGCCATTTTATTTCATTTTATTTTATCTTATTTATTATACTTTATCTTATTTTACTTTATTTCATTTTTTTATTAAAAATGACTGGCAGCAATATGCCCTTCTGAAGCTGGCATACTTCTCCATTAGCCCTTCCACTTGCACATAGACACATACAGTCAAACTTGTGCAGCAGCATGTCACATGCAATTTGTATTCTTTGTTTGAGAAGCAGCCTATAGACAAAACTCGTTTGTTTCTCCCTTTTGTAGCATTAAGCTGTTACTGAGGGGATTTCAGAGGCACAGATGGGTTGGGCACCTGATTTCTGCAGACTTGAGTAGGAATCAAGGCATGTGCTACTGCCTCTGGTGACTAAAAATTTCCCTAAAGGTTTTGGCTAGCTGCAAGCTTCTTCATTTTGTTTAGAAAAGGATGAATAAGTCTTAAAATAAGGAGTGTGTGCTCTTGCTCTTTGGAAGTGAAGGCCTTGTGTTGTTAAAGCTCTTAGGACTGTACCTCTTCTTCTTTTTTTTTAATTTTAATTTCTTTTAATAGCTGCATGTTTTCTGAAGTGCAGCTTTGGTTTTCCCAGTGTTGACGAGGAGATTAATGGTCAGGATCCCAGTTGGTGCTGGGTTCTGCACCCGCTGCCTCGGGTGCTGGGCTGGGAACAGCAGGTGCTGCCTGCTTTGCTCCTGCATGACACCTTCAAAGTTAATCTGCTTTTAGGCTTGTTTGCACTCCCTTCTTGAACAATGTATGCTGTGTGCGTTGTTTGCTTTTCAGGCTTTTAGTCAAGCAGAAAGGCAACTTTTGCACTTACTTTGTGCCAAAAGCAATGGAAGTATGTTCCCTACGTTCATATTTGGACTCAGTAATGAGCTTAACCGTTTAGTAGCTGCTGTAAAATAAGCTCAGGGAAAGAGTTTAAAATTACTGTAGTTTAAGCATGCACTGAAATGTACTTCTGCCTTACTTGGAGGTGGACAGGTATTTTATAGGGAAAGGTAGCATGAAGGCTTTTTCACTGGGATTGCTAATGACAGGGCACTAGAGGCTCACTGCTGCCTTATTAGCTCGGTATTACAAACGTGTTTCACAGAGTCCCCATCAATAGCATTGGCAGCTTTCAATATGTAAGAGAAGCAAGGTCACCATTAAGGCCTTGACTCATGGAGTTGTGGGCAAAGCTCACACCTTCTGCAGGCCAGTCAGGCAGCCGTGCCGTGCCATGCTGTGCCGTGCCGTGCCAGTGGAGGAGGCTCGCCCTGGAGCGAAGGCAGAGGCAGCACTGGTGCCACAGCCCTGAGGGCTGTGTCGGGGATAGACAGCTTTATCTTGTGGATAAGGCAAGAGGCACAGCCTGATCCTGTGGGTGGGGATTAGAGCCAGAGGCTGACAAAGGAGCACATTGAATGAATCTGTATCTTGGCCATGCACCTTGCTGGATGGTGGCACCTTTTTGCGAGGTGCTGGTGAACCTCCCATGCCAGCAGTCCTGGGCTACACTTGTGGAGTGCTGTCTGCCCCTTTCAGGCTGGCTTTTCATGCCCTCTGCATACAGGTGATGCTGCTGTACCAGGATCTTCCTTCAGCCTTCCTTCTTTTGGAAGCACTGGCAGAGCCTTTCCCTTCCATCCTGCTAGGCAGACAAGTTTCAGCATCCCCCTTCCCCTGCTGCAGCAGCCTGGGGAGTGAGCCCTTCGGGGGGCTGGGGTAGCACCAGGGTGGTGGGTGCACAGTCTGAGCCCTGGCCCCTTGGGCAGTCCCCCTGCCATGGTGTGAGCATGGTCAGGTGGCTCTGCTGTGGCTTGAACGCTTGCTCACATCCCCTTGGGTCTGGGCTCTAATCCTGGCTTGAAATTTTATATTGACAGAGTTAATTCCTGACTGCTTCAGACTGCAGAAACTGGTCTCTGATAAGGCTGTGTTTAATAAGGATATTCGTGGTAAAGAGCTTTGTTGGCTAGACAGAGCTTTACCTTGCTGAGCTCTGCTCTGTCAGACGAGAAGGAGAAGGTCCCCTCCCAGCACGCTCCCTTCTTGCAGCCTGGCAGTGTGGTGGAGTAGGAGACACAAGGGAGGTGGGGGGTGTCTTTCTTCCAGACAAAAAAATAGCCACTAAATATCTTTACACAGTTGGCTGTAAGCAGCACACGGAGCCAGAGTAAATGTACTCTTGCTGTAAGCCTAAACTCTAAAGTAAATGCCAAAAATAAAGCAGCCTGCCTTACTTTTTCCACCTTACATAGCAGTTTCCAACCACATCAAGTGAAAAGTCTAGGTGGGTGTATAGTGTTTATCATCACTGAGTAATACCCATTGCATTTGATGGGACATTTGTTTTGTACCTGACTACTGGTTTAAAAATAGTTTTAGTGAGGGCAGGAAAGATTATTTAAGTTTATATTGCCACCTAAGAGATAGGAGTGTGTTCCTGATTTAGGGAGGAAAGCTGGGAATGTAAAGAATACTTTTTTAATATATTTTTTTCCCTTCCCCCTTCCACTACAACTAAGTGGTTTGAAAGTCTGTGGAAGTGCAGTATCCAGCAGTGCAGTCTCACTTTCTGTAAGATCGTGTCAGAGTGGTTTCTATGCCTACATTCCTCTTCAGCAACTGCATCCTCCAGTATTTGAAAGTTGTTTACATAGGTGGTAGCAAAATTTTATGTCCAGAGCAATGAAAAATCGTAAACAGTTTTACATCCAGAACTATACTATCACTGATACATGGCCAGAGATGGATTGAGGAGGTCCATGAAATTAGAGTGAGAGGCAAAGTTCAAGTCTACCCTTTCTTTACAGCTGCTGAAAGTCAGAAATATACCAAACACAGACCCAGAGGATATGTGAGAGTTAGCAGAAGGGGAATGCTGGTGCATCTGGAAGTGCTGGACAAAGAAAACCTTGTTACCTTGCGGTGCCTTAGCCTTTGATGCATTCATTTCAGTCACAGGATGTTCAAGTTTAGCCAGGAGTTGGCAGCCAGATGGACCGCGAGGCAGTTCCCAGAGTGACTCAGTCTAGGCGAGCGTGAAGAGTCATTCACATAAAGGTAACCTATTGCAGTGTTTTGTTAGGATTTTTTTTCCCTGGGTTTTCATGTTTTTGTGGTAGTCCTTGGTTTTTTTTCATGGTAGTTTTCCAGTTGATCACTGCTTCCTGCCTTCTCTTCTGCCTGGTCATGCCTCCACCTCGGTGGAATGGAGATTGAGGGCTCCTGTTGGCCTGGTCCAATGCCTGGTGGTTGTTGGTGGCCAGCTGGCCCTGCCTTTTCCAGGACCTGTCAGGCAAATGTATGGTCAATGCAAAAACTGTGAGAGCAGCCCTGTATTTCCTCCCCACCTCCCCTCTCCTTTGCTGTCCTCTATGATGCTGGCATCATGGAGGATGGAGCAGGACCTGTGATGTGTGATTTAAGGCACTTGTCGTGCTGTTCATTGCTTGGTATGATCCTGTTTCTGCAGTCAGGAAAGCTCTTTAGGAAGAACTGTTTCATTTGACCTTTCTTTCTAGAAAGCTGTGGTCTTGAGGCTGTATCACATGGCGGTGATGGTGTTTTTTTCCTAAATGAGGAAGGTAGGAAAGCACTGTATTTATTTATGCCAGCTTTTCTCAAGAAGGAGCCGAATAGGAAGGTTTCTCTTCTGAGTCAGGGTAGACCGATTTCTCCTTTGGACTGAGATTTATCATTTTCTTATCTCGTCATTTTATGCCTGCTAAATTGCTGTGGAAGCACCAGAGTGAGGAGCTAGCGGTCTTTTTTAGAAGTAAAACAAAATTTAAAAAATGAAGGATTAAATAGTTTATTCTCTGAGGCTGAAATTACAGATATTAAGTGCTTTGTCTGTTTTATTGCTAGACAAACTTTTATTGTTTGTTAGAAGTAATTTATTTGAGAAGGGCAAGAAGAAAGTCTGTAGCACCTTTTTGTTGGTAGAAACCAGATTGTTTCTATTACTAACTCCTTTTCCCATACCTTTCTGCCTGCCTGCCTTCCCTGTCAATTGCGGTATAAGTGTTTGCCTCCATTCACCTTAATAAAAACACCATGATCTTGAGATAAATTTCTGCTTTTCCATATGCTATTATTATGATTTGGTTTATTTCTCTGGATATGCAAGGATGAGAACAACTTGCACAGACATTATAATCCCTGCAATGAAAAGGGAGAAACTCAAAATATCTTCAGGTATTTTTTGAGAAGAGAGAATAGGAGAAAATCACTATGGTCCAGCTTCAGATGTCTCTGTGCCTCACATGAGCAGCAGGGCAGTTCTGATCTTGGGGCTTCTGAAAGAAACCTCAAGTGTCAGGATGCCTCACTAGTCTCAGCTCCCAGCTTGGACATCCAGGATGCCTAAAGGTGTGCTGTGGGGCTTGTCCCTCTTTTCCTTGCCCTCTATCCCCAGCATGGCATGCATCTCCACCTGGGATGGAGAAGGGTGTATGCCCCACTACTGGGATGGCTGCTTCAGGGATGTGTGTATTGTTGGTTTGGTATCAAAGTAGTTTTAAGAACAACCAGGCAGGCAAGACAGCAGCTGCTGGTAAAATAACTTTGGGAAGGTGCCTCAGGAGGGATTAAGATACAATGCTGAACCTATTAACTGGGAAGATGCTACCTCCTCAGCTTCAGGGGTTTTTTTGCCAGTGTTAAGGAGGAGCAGATCAAAGGAACTGCCAAGAGTTAAAAAAAACTCTTCAGGCAGAAAATAGGCAGTTGTTCGAGAGCCACTCACCAGGATCAGACACCTTGCTTGTAAGTTTGCAGGAATCTCAGCTTCTCAGCAGCTCCTGGGACATGTATTGGCATGGGACCAAGGTAGGAGAGACAAATACCCTCTTTTGAGTCAGTTTTAGAAAGCATTACACTGCCTACCTTCTGTTAGTAGAAAATCATATATTGATTTGAGAAAGCTGTTTCATGGGGTCACTGTCATGAGCAGCCAACAGGACTCAGGGTCTCTGAGTGCTGCTCCTCAGAGCTGTGGTCACAGTTCTTCAGTGGGCACTTTGGACAGCGAGAAAGGATGCAGCCTCACTGGAGAGTGTGTCTGTTGCAGCTTGATGCTCTGTTGCACACTGACCCTTTTTGTTCACTGAAAGGTTGGTCAGGCTGCCCAGGAAAGTGGTGGAATCACCATCCCTGGAAGCGTTTAAAAAATGTGTGGATGCAGGACTTGGTTTAGAGCTGAACATGCTGGGTTTAGGTTTGTGGTTGAACTTGATGATCTTAGGTCTTTTTCAACCTTTAGGATTCTGTGATTCTATGACCCCTGCATACCCCAGGGGAAGCAATAAATCCTTGCAGGCCCTTGAGAAGGAGGGTGCAATGATACTTGGGCAGATAAGGTCAGGCACCTCCCAGCCCTCCAGCAGCAGTGCTGCATCTTTTATTTGAGGCAGTGACAGGTACCTGTGCAGCCTTCAGCTGAAGGCAGGTAGCTTCAGGAGACCTGAGCTTTTGGAGTCTACTTTGAAGTCGCTCCTGCCTTCTTCTGAGGGTTTTAAAAATCTGCTTTTCCAGTGGACAAGAGTCTCAGTCTTTGCCCTTGTGCTTCCTCTCCTATCGTACTCCAGAAGAAGGAGTTGCTTGAGCTCCCTGGCAGACAGTCTCTCATAAATCTCTGTGGGTCAGATGGTTCATAATTTATTGCCCAATTTGCCCCACCAAATATTTTCACATTACTCCTGTTACTGGTCTGATTTTCCTATCCATTTCCCCATTCTTACCCAAATGTTTATCCAATGCCCTTCATACACACAAAAAATCCTCAGTTTAGATGCATCAGTTTTGAAGAAGTCTGTATTCTCTGCTTTGCCTATGGTTTGTCCTTCTTGACTTCTCCCTGATAGAAATTGGTGTTGCAGAGAAATCTGTGGCTATTGGGTTGCCTGTTGCCTCTGCTCTCTTGAAGCAAAAAGCCTCTGAATTTAGGAGGCTTAAACCTTGTCCTTTCCTGGATCTCTTCTGCCACATGTCATTTCTTGTATGTGGAGTTGTTTATTTGGCTAAATTATGGCAGTCTCTGGCTTTTGCTATCTCTGCAGACACATATGGTCCTGCTGATAGAGTCGTGTGTGTCTGCCTCAGATTTGTGGGTGACACTGGCATGTGCAGAAAGAAATGGGTGGAGTCGGCCGCACTGCGCGGCGTGCAAGGCTCCGCAAAGTCCCTATCTGTGGGAATTCCTAGTCAGCTCTTATCAGTCACGTCCTGATGCAGTGAGTTGTAGAAATCAAATTAGCAGACGAGTCAATTGCTTACGTCAGTCAGAAGTTTTGTGGTGGGGATGATGTGATAGCCCAGGGCCCTCCCTTCACTGGGTAGCCTTCCTGGGTTTGATTGCAAGGGATCTAACAGAGTGAAAACCTGACAGTGCAGTTTCACTTCTGTTCTGCTTTTTAGTTTTCCTTCCTTCTTTCTCAAAAGATTTTTCTCACTGTTGTTTGGGGCAAGCAGAGCAGAGACTATTTCCTTGCTATAAAAGTAGAGAAAGCTCTGCCCTGTTATTTTACAAAACAAGTTGTGGCATACTACGTGGTTCCTCACATCACTCAGTAGTTCGTTAGTCTGTCACTGTACAAGCATACTAAATGACAAACTAAAAAACAGAAGGCAGTACAACAGTCCATTAAAATTCATATAGGATATCAAATATTCAAAGTAAGGGATGTAAAAAGAAGCCTCTTGCTGTAAATACTAATACCTGTAGTTGCATAAACATAAAGAAGTGCTGTGCCACCACCAAGCAGTGGACTGCTGCTGACAATTCCACAACTGCCTGGGAATCCCTGTAGTTATTTATTTCCAGAGAGCTGCTACCACTTCAGGGAAAGGTCTCCTTCAGAAGATCCAGCCTGTCATGTGAGCCTCTTCTCCTAAACAGACACCTTGGCTAACTTGAAATTGGAGGCAAGATCAATTACTTCCAAGCTCTTGGTGTCATGGAGTAGCAAGAAATGATGTTACTCATTTCTTGTGTCCAGGGCAAAAGCAATGAACCTCAGGCTTAACATTTTGGAGAGCTCTTTTTTTTTTTTTCCCCTCTGTATTGCTTTCTCTGGAGAGTTAACTTCATGTGTCATTATATCTTCTAGTAATTCTTAGCTTCCTTTGGAACTACAAATGCCTATATCAGCAAACTAGGACTTAACTTCCCAAACACAGGCAACAAGCAAGATTCTAGGTTTTTTTAAGGGCAGGACTTCTGAGTAAAAGTATCAGAGCTCCCATCAGATCTTTCAACAACAAATCCCAAATTCAGTTTCAACTTCATCCCACTTTTTGGAAGAATATCCAGCCTTAAATGCAAAAGCTTAAGGCAACGGAGAATCCACCCTATCTTCTAGTGTGTTTTTGAGAAGGTTAATTACCTTTGCTGTTAATATGTACACACTATTCCTGCTGTGGTTTTGGGTTCCAAATACTTGGGCCTTTTTAAGGCTTTGTCTGCTATTAATATAGTCCCCAGCCTCCTTTACCCAGATCTGTAATAAATTAGTTTTCAAGGCTTTTGTCTGTAGCAATTCTAAAAATAATTTCTTATTGGAATCCAATTGAATCTGAGGGAAGCGAGGTGATAATCAAATGATGTCACCCTCACGTCTTGCACTGCATCTCGCTGCCTGCCAAAAGTAGCAACTGTTGCTATGTACCCAGGGGAAGGTGATACTCCCAGCCTTTTCTTGGTGCTGGAAAGCTCTCCTTTCCAGTGCTTGTCAGACCTCTGGGAGCTGCTGACGTCTGTTCCAGGCTTTTCATTTTACCCTTATGTGTTGGGACAGACATGGAGAAGCGTGGATCGTGTCCTGCAGGATGCTTGGGATTTTTCCTGTTCCTGAAGAAGACTGTTTCTCTCAACTACTGCAAATCTGGAGGACTGATGTGATTTAACCCGTTAAGTGCCTGTATTGCAGTGCTTGGGCTGTGGGGTGGAAATCTTGCTGAAGCATGTGTGGCAACGTCCAAAAATCCGTCTAAAAGGACAATGATATGACATCATGACTTTTCCCAGACATTTTCCTTCTTTTTCTCAGTAGTTTCCCTGAATCTTGGCTCATGGGACTCGTCCTCCAGCTTTTTTCTAGGTACTTCCTGAAGTTAAAAATACCTCACCAGAAGAGCAGAGCTCATTGTCATTTGACACATGGGGGTCCAGGAGTTCTTTGATAACAAACCGAACTGTGTCCCCAGATGACTTCCATGCACCTGGGAGTCAGGGTGGAAACCTGGAAGTAAAACAAATCAAATGTTCATAAGGCTCCATCTGGTTAGTGCCAGTGCGTCTTGGCATTCACTCCCTGCCCTGTCTGCATGTAAAAGGGGGTGCTTGTAGTTTTAGCCTTCATTTTACTTTAGTTGATATCTAAACATGCAAACACTGTCTTTGTGGTTTTGGGCAGCAGAAGGGGGCTGAATCTCAGGCAGCCTGAGGTACAATCCTGGACAAATCCTGGTACAATTTGCATGGCTGCAAATAGCATTGTGCTGAATTCCAGCAATGTCCTAATTCCATGGATGAAGTGGGGGACAGAGAGGGGCACGGCAGAAGAAAGCATTCTGTGTTCGATGACTGGTGTACCAGAATGATGGGGTAGGGTTGAAGCACTGAGGCATTTTATGGTGTCACAATTCCCAGGGACTCTTTCCCAAGCATGTACACTGTCCCTGTATATAGCAGCAATCCAGAGCTAATTGACATGTAAGCGCCACGGGGGAGTAAAGTTATTTGAAGTTATTAAAGTTATTTTGTCTTTCACCAAGTGAAAAAATCCAGAGTTATCCAGGTGGAGAAAAAAAGAGGAGGAAAAAACCAGCAGACTACCAAACTGTGACTTGTTCAGACTAGCTTGTGAATGTATCTTGAGGTCATCTATCCTGAAAACCTTTGAAATTTGAAGACTGTGGACTCTTGTCTCTTGGCACTCTGCCGATTCCTTCTCCTCCTCCTAGCAGATTCTGCCTAACAGTTGCCCTTTTTTTCCACTTTTAAATATCCTGAATCACAGAGCTTGCTAGTTTTCTTCATTGAGGTCTAAGCCCTTAAGGACTGTGTTGAAGTAATGAAGAGGACAGCATGTACTGGATACTGGAGCCAAGGGAGAGGGAGTGTGGGCAGAGGGAAGAGATGACCCTGCTTCCAGCTTTGGTCCTAATCCTGCAAACTTTTTCTCATGTGAAGAGTCCTGCAGAGGTCAGCCAGACATTCTGCACGAACAGCGACTTATTTGCTATTTGGCATCATGCTGGAATTATGCTTAAAGTAGTCAAAAAAACACGGTCAGAGTTTGTGATAAGGCGTGGAGGGGGTGCTTTGAGCCAGCTCAACAGGGAGTCTGCTGAAGACATGCATGGGATTAATTAAATAGAAATTTTGTGTGTTTGGCAAGCGTGGCTGGGTTTGGCTAAACTCTAGGACTCAGAGAAAGTGCCTCCCTAAAAAGAATATATAAATGCAGTGCCACAAGTGTCCGATGTGCGCTCTCTGGCATTGCCCTCAAGAAGGAAGGTTAGCACATGATCTTTCCAGGAATTATCTGCCCAGGTGGCCCAGTTCCTTGCATGCCAGTATCTTGTGCACTCCTGTGTTTGGCTATCAGATCAGGAGGCAGCGTTCTGAACCACCCCATGATCATGTTGCATTCGTGATTACATTGTTGGCTCTTGCAGTGGGAACCATTTGTTGGGGCCTGAAGGTGCAAAAGCAGCTCTGCTGGTGCAGCCCTGATCCAGGGCTATTGCTGGCAAACATGACCTTGGGTAAGCAAGCAAAAATTTCATCCTGTTGTGCTCTAAAACCTTATGACTGTATATAGGGTCTCCTAACACAGAAGGCCTTGTCAGTTGATTTTGTGCAGAATTAGCTTCAGTTCTTACTTTTCTGCTGAACAGATACTTTCTAGAGTATGCATATATTTCTTAACTACTTCACTAAAATGCATCTTACTAAAATGCAGCTTGCGACATGGAGTCCAAAGTGCCCAACACTTCTGTGGTGTTGGTAAAAAGATCCTCCTCTGTACGCAGAGCCTTAAGGTTTCTTGCCATCCTGACTTTAATTGCATTTGACACACTCATTTAAGGGCAGTGGGGCAGGGAGGGGACACAACACTTCAGTGCGAGTTAAACAAGAGGACCCCAAGTGCTGCCTGCTGCAGCTCATGCAGGCAGAGTGCCATGGGGCAGCAGCTGATGGAGATGGCAGCTGCTGCAGATGCAGGAAAAGACCAGTACCCAGCTGCTCCCTCCTGCGCCTTCTCCCCATGCTGACAGCATAGCTGTTTGTCCTGGTGAATCCTTGGGTGGCTATCACAACCTGTCTCCCCAAAGACCAGGGAAAGGCCAGGCTGCTCCCAGCCTCTTCCTCCTTATTTATGTGTCACAGGAGGAAAAAACCTAGATGGTGATAGGGTGTTCGGGGTCATCCTGTTGTAGTCACAATGATGGCAACAATTCACAGCTGAAGCATTTGATTTGTTAACCTTATAAAAATATGCCATTAAATACTGTATTTAGCTCCTCAGGGGAAGTAGCCTAGATTCTTTTTCATTTTCCTTTTCTTATCCCTATTTTAGCACTAGTGACTCAGCTGTCACTCTCCTGCGGAAGGGCTGCTGGTGTCATAGCTGTGATTGGATGGCACCAAAAACCCATTTCTGCTGAAAATAATTAATATGGTGCATTTTCACCTCAAAAAGAGCCTGTTACAAAACTACTAGAAGGTTTTCATTAACTTTTTCAAGCTTTGAAGCTTGCTTGTGGAAGAAAATTGGAAATTTCTGTGTGTCTCCTTGTGTTTATCCTTGTCAACAAGGTAGCGTCCGGCAAAGGCTGGTGCACATTTACCCTACACATTGAGGGCATTCCTGTTCAAGCACACAAAGTAGTTCATATGCATTTAAACATGCAAAAAAGCCTTTGCAGGTGAGAATCTCACTTTGCAACAGGCACATGAGCAGATCCTCGTAAAGAGAATTAATTTCCACTAGCTCTGAAAAAAGTCAAACTGGAGATGAGTGTGGACTCTTCCACCTCTTTATTTTTTTCATTCCCCTTTTTCTGACTTTGA